ATAATAATGAAAATTAACTAAATACTACATTCACCCCAAAAAGATAAGTCTGAAAACTTTTGTTCTAAAATAAAATCTGTGGTTTAGATTTTAAAATAGATGAAATTATGCCTACCTGAAAAACAGACACTTTAACCACAATAAAAAGAAGATAACTTATATTATTTCTAACTCTTAACCTCAAGTTTAAAAAATGTAAAGAGAAATTGTAAAAAGCTATTTTATAAAGCTGCTATAAGGGAAAAATGAAAACCAGGTCAGAGGGAGAGAAGAAATAAGACTTTCAAAGGGATCTGTTCTTTCAGAAGCTCGTCAACAGCTTCTTATTCGCTCTCCTGAAGTATGGAGAACTGTAGAGTTTTGTATCAAACTGAAAGGTGTAGTCTCTGCTCTTAAGGAGACTGAAACACAAACAAATATTCCCCATTAATGAAGTCCCTTTCCACTAAGAGACTTATCTTTGAGAAAGATTTGTGAACAAACCTTTTTCACTCTCTGCTTCCCATTGTTCCATCCTCTGCTTTTCTGTGCCTGTCTCCCCTGAGAGGATTTGGGGCTGGTTTTAGAAGAATTGCAACCATCCACTTCCACTACCCTCTTTTTTAGTCAACATTAATATCTCCCAGGATGTTCTCCCTTTTTTCAGTGGCCCTCCTTTTTATCACTTAGCGGACACGAATACTATCTATTAAATGTTTAAATTGGAATCCTTCAAGGGTTCAAGTCTTCACTTTCTTTTTTTACCACTGCAATAATTGACTTCACATGTGTTTGATTCAAGGGTGAACCCGGTGTGGCTGGTGCTCCTGGTACCGCTGGTGCATCTGGTCCTGGTGGCCTCCCAGGAGAGAGAGGGGCTGTTGGCATACCTGGAGGCAAAGGAGAAAAGGTACACTCTGCTGTCAACTGTGGACCTTAATATATACATTGATGAACTCTAGAACAAGGGTGCCCAGTTTTTTACAGTTCTTGGCAGGTAGTCTGGTAGCATTTTGATAACTATCTATACACATTTCCCTCTGCCACCTAGCACCTACACACTTCTAAACTCACAAGTGTGGCAAAATTCCTTGCTACCATGGAATTTCATGCAAACAGATGGTGTTGAGTAATACATGAGGCTCATTTTAATGCCACTAACAATAATGCCTCATTCTGCCCTAATTAATGGGAAAAAGCTATATTGAACAGCTGTCAACCGTGCTGCCGCATTAGTTATGCCATAAGAGTGAGCAGGCGCTGCAGCCCATTGTGATGGTGCCTTACAATTCTGTCCACATGAATTGGTACCTGGCTTGATTATGCGTCAGAGGGGTGTGTGGAAATTCAAAAATAAATGTGCAACAATAATCTGGAAAGGGTCTTGAATTATTTTTTTCTGATTTTTTCCCTTCATTCAACATCTTATAAAATGGTAGAGAAATGAGAAATTACTAAAAACCTTAAATGACAAAAGGTACAGCATCTTCTCTGAAAACACTTTGGATTGATCTGGATTCAAAAATTTGGTCAGAAAATGAAAACTTGTTCTTGCTTTATACTTTCAGGGTGAAACTGGTCACAGAGGTGAACCCGGAAACACTGGCCGGGATGGTGCTCGTGTGAGTAGAATTTTGTTTTTATGTTTGTTTGCACTTCGACTTTTATTTATTTTTCATATTTCACTCCATTTGATTGAGAAAGTTTCCAAAATAGAGCTAGAAAAAAGGAACCAAGTTTAGTAAAATAGTTTTTCATTTTTTCCTGGCTATATCACTAATAATATCATCTTACATGTCCCAAAAGAAAAATTCAACAGGAATTTGAAAATCACACCTGAATTTTCTACCTTTGCTAATGTTAAGTATACCAACTACAAGTGGCGGGCCCAAAGCTCTAGGTTTAATAGAATGGTAAGCAAGTAAATTAAGTGATGATAGGGCTTTAAAAAGAAAATGATAATCCCCTTGTCTGTTAAAATGCCAGAACCTCTAACAAGGTCTCACAGTCGTGCACACAGATGCCCTAGGACTTTATCGAAGAACGGGCCCAAACATTAGCTTTGAATGCCCTCTGGATGCCAAAGATAACCCCATATGGAACAATCCCCCTGCCTGGGTGTCAGCATTGTGGCGCTTCTGAGCCACAGTCTGCCTCACTTTGTTCTCATGACCTCGCCCTGGGAGCTGATAACTCTTGCAGCACAGTGCTAACAATCTTCCCCTCCAATCACACCATTCTGACAGTTCCTAACAAGGCTACTCATTTTCTGCTCTCCAGGGAATTTTACAAAAGCAGAGAGTTCAGATCTCCCAAATTCATAACCCACCCTTGATGTACACATTTTCATAGCCTTTATTACAGAAATTCTCTCTTCCAAAAGTGGCTTCTAGCAGTCTTGATAATTAGAACTGAAAAAAAAAAAAAGAACTGAAATGTATCAAAGGTTTTCTTGATGTCCAACCAGAGTTTGCAATAAAAATGTTCTATCACTGTAAAAGCACAGCAGTGAGGAATGACAAGTTTTGCTTTTAATGGTATGAAGGTTATTAATAAGACACATCTTTTTTCTGGGTATTAGGGTGCTCCTGGTGCTATAGGTGCCCCTGGTCCAGCCGGAGCCACAGGTGACCGGGTAAGCATGCGTCTTCCTGAGTGGTGACTTTCTGAGCTGCAAGCAATATCTAAACATTCCTGCCCACCCTAGTCCCAGGAAACCCAGCAATTCATTTTTACAGCTTGTAATAAAGTCCACTTATTTAAAAACCAAGCTGTTCTGACAGAGTAGTGGAAAACTAATGCTGTGTGTTTAACATTCCTTTTCACTTCGTATAGATGTACCGGCAATCTGATCTGCTTTAATCTCTATCATTTGTTTTAAAGGCTTTCCCTGTTGCCCATTAACAATATCCTAATGTACTAAGCCTCCTCAAAGCCTTCAATTGTAAAAAAAAAAATCCATGAAATACATAGTGTGCTTATTTCGTATGGAACAGCCCACTTAAAATAGACCTTATTTATTGTATTGCAAAGATCGAAGGAAATAGATCAGCCCTGTGTCCATCTCAAAATTAAAATGTCCTTTCCTAGTATTATGCGTACTGATTTATAGTGCTATGGCAAGTGTACAGCCAATAGCACTTCGACCCTTATAATGAATACAACATTAAGTAGAGTAAGAGTCCACTTCATTTTGCTCTGAGATGCACATTAGTTATCTCTCTCAAGGCAACTACAAACTCTGACCAGAGCCCACTGTCGACCACTCTACTCACTCCTTCCTGCTTCCTGGAGCATCTCTGTGAGGCCCATTAGCAAACTCATCTTTGGTCCCATTACAGGGTGAAGCTGGTGCTGCTGGTCCTGCTGGCCCTGCTGGTCCTCGGGGTAGCCCTGTAAGTAGAAATCTGGGTCATCTGGACATGAAAACATCACAACTTTTAAACATTCATGAACCTAGGGTGGCTAAAATATTTTGAAATCCCTTCCCCCACCTAGGGTGAACGTGGTGAAGTTGGTCCTGCTGGCCCCAATGGATTTGCTGGTCCCGCTGTGAGTATCACATAATTGGGGTCAATCTTAAAACAACGCAAGTTGAGGGGTACAGTGAGTCAGAATACCAAGCTGTAACTGTTCATTTTCTACAGGGTGCTGCTGGTCAACCTGGTGCTAAAGGAGAGAGAGGCACTAAAGGTCCCAAGGGTGAAAATGGTGGTGTCGGTCCCACCGGCCCTGTTGGAGCTGCAGGCCCATCTGTAAGTTGGTTTCACTGGTGGCTACACAGCCTGTGTAGTCACCCATGAAATTTTAAAATTCAACATTCATCACCAAGTGCCCATTGTATTCCAGGGAGTACACCAGATTGAAGATGATTTTTTTTAAAAAAAAAAAAAAAAAAGAAGAGTTAACACTTGCATACCACTTTACAGTTTATAAAAGTTGTATAAATATTGTCGTATTCTTCAAGAACCCATAAGTTATAATATTAAAATAAGAGCATTTCATATGACACAGACGTCTATTTCTCATTTCTAAATTTTATTCTAATAGGGGAATGATCTTGAATAAAAGAGTATCATTTAGAAGAGTTCTGTGTTTTGTGATTTGACTCTATCTCTTCATTTGCATTTAGGGTCCAAATGGCCCTCCTGGTCCTGCTGGAAGTCGTGGTGACGGAGGTCCTCCTGTGAGTATTTATAGTCGATTCTGACCACTTTTCCCTCTTCAGAATCTATTAGAGACAACTCAAAAGTTTTGGCATCTTAGGTAAATTTGAACTATAATGAGACATTTGAGATTCTGATCAGTCATTCTGATATTGGGAATAAGATCTGTTACATGGATATTAATTCCCTCTGAAACTCAGTGCAGGCTATGTTACTGCCATCTCACTTGAAGTAGGAACCGAAGTTAACCCCAAGCAGTTTAACTGGGAAGTGGATAAAACATTTCTTTGGCACTCTTTATCTTTTTTGTTAATGCCTCCCTTCTCTGGCTGGCCAAGTCATAAAAAACCTATGTAAGGGTGCCTACTGCCTATTCTTCAGTCCACTCCTACTCACATGAGGATTTGCTAGAGAAGAAGTTACTATCTTTTCTAAATCTTTGGTGTTGGTTTGACTGTGGAATTTTCTGTGCTTGGTTCTTAGGGTATGACTGGTTTCCCTGGTGCTGCTGGACGGACAGGTCCCCCTGGACCAGCTGTAAGTTCATCCCTCAAAACATGGGTCTTCATTTAGACCTGGCCTCTGGTAGGAAACTAGTAAAAACTCTCTGTGAAAACACATCACTAATATTTGCTATTACTTTTCCACTCAGTTTTTCTCAACCATTAAGGCAAAACCATCACAAATTATATTTTATAATATCAGTTTAAGAGGCTTTTATTTATGCAAATGTCAGTCCCCATTGGGAGCATGATCTCTTTGTTAAAAATGTGAAAAAAAAAACCAGAATAATTTTAGTCACGTATCAGATATTTCTATATCTAATTACCCTTTATGGCTAACATTCTGCCTCTGTTGTTAAAGTATAATTGTTCCTGAATTTAAAGGTGGTTTGGCCTCTAATTTAATTCTGATTCAGACTCTCCTGTCGGGACTCAAGAGAATTTAATTAATTACCAAGGATTAAGTCTTCCAGTTAAGGTTTCAGGGAAAAAATAGCAAAGATGTTGATTTCTTGGAATCCTTTTACAGGTTTGTAACAGAAAAATCTTCATCCCCCGTAGGCATTTAATTAAACCTAGTTGACAGCATATGTGATTCCTCAATTATGAACCAAATGCCAGCATTGGCTTTCTTCAAAAAGAAATGGGCAGAGTGCTCCAAAACCCAAAGTCTTATTCATTTAAAACTCACTCTTATAACTCCACATAGTTCTGATTTCAGTATGCCGGAGTGCTAGCAGTGTGGCATTGCCTCTCCTCACGGAGATGTCTGTAGACTCTGTCTGAACTGTTTGCTTTGTTACCTCCTCAGGAGAAGTAAGGCAGGAGTTTCTTCTATGACAATTTTGAAAAGGCCTAAATCTTTCAGAAAAATGGCCAGGATATTTCTTTGTTGTTTCACAGAATGCATCTTTATATAGAGAACCTCTGCTGCTTTCATCCAGGTCTATGATAATTAACAGAAGTAAATGACTTTGTACATCTGTTCACAGGGTATCACCGGCCCTCCTGGTCCCCCTGGTCCTGCTGGTAAAGAAGGGATCCGAGGTCCTCGTGGTGACCAAGGTCCAGCTGGCCGAGCGGGAGACACAGGTGCAGGTGGCCCCCCTGGCTTTGCTGGAGAGAAGGGTCCCTCTGGAGAGCCTGGTACTGCTGTAAGTGATTTCAAACTCCTTTTTCTTAATACCTTATATTGAGTTAAAAATAAAGCCCCTGCACAAATCCTCAGGTGGCATGTATTTGTTGATCAGCACTGTGGGCTCTCAAGTAGAGCTCAGTTGAGACAGAAAATCCAACACACATTAAGGTGCTGTAGGTTTAGCAGATGCTCAAAAAAGCACATAATAGGAATGACAGTAAATGAAGGAACTCACTGTTTATCACAGCAGCCCTTTAAGCTTTTGAGAGAACCCAAGGTCCCAGGATTAGAACAAAATCCCACTGCTGTGACTGTCTTACCATAAATTAATCAACCTCAGTAAGCTACTGATTCCTTTAAGCACGCATTGCCCAGTATGATTGCTGCTTTGAAAAGTGCCTTTATTAGACCTTCAAGCCCAAGGTCAAAATGTGCTTCCTTACAAAGAGTCTGTAAAAACTATCCCTCTCCCAAATGGCCTCATTAATCTTAACTACATATTTTCAAATGTTGTACCATTGGTCTCAGATTAAAAAAATACATGTAAACTCATTGTTTTCACTAGAGAAAAGCCATCCAAGGATCTGTCAGACTCACGGGAGGTGTCCCAAAATAGAAACCTTGTCCTATAGACAGCTCACTCTCGCAATTCTCAATCTAACTGGCATCATCAGCTAGGATCTTGCCCATGATACTCAGCATTTTTTCTCTTGTTTAGGGACCCCCTGGTACCCCAGGTCCTCAGGGTATTCTTGGTGCTCCTGGTATTCTGGGACTCCCCGGCTCCAGAGGTGAACGTGGTCTGCCAGGTATTGCTGGTACTTTGGTGAGTGTTTGACATTCTTATTAACATAATAAAAGATTTTTAAGAGCTGACACTTCAATGTGAAGACTGATCACTGAATAACTCAAGATTTTTATTCATGGCATTTTCTTTATACAGATCACATGTCACTTATCTAAGAAGCTTGAATACCACTTACTTAGATGCACACTATAAAGACACAGCATAACATTATGCAGAATGATTTTTTGTTCTTTCTGCAAGCTTGAGAATGATATAAGCTCTAATTGCATTTACTCCTCTGCAGTATGAAAATCGGGCATCATTTATCCTGCAGGAAGAATGAAATACTGGAAGTTCTGAATCATTTCATTTAACCTTCTCTGTGATAGCAACTAGGATGCATCTCATCTCCATAAACTTTATCAACTTTATGAATTCACTTTATTTGGGATATATTGGATGCAGCTAGGCTCCCCATTAAAGAGAGCCACATTCCAACACAACACAACATTGGCATCCTAAGTCCATAGAAGGAAGGCGAGGATGACATGAATGACATTTCTTATCATTTCTTATCATTTGGCAGCATACTCGTTCAATTTACCTTCTCTCATCACACTAGAAACTCCTGGCAGGGTTATTTGGGGAGGGTGAGTTAGCATCCCATCCAGTGAGAGCCCTGTTGTTTTATCTCCTTGTTTTATCTCTGTAGGGTGAACCTGGTCCTCTGGGCCTTGCAGGCCCTCCTGGTGCTCGTGGTCCCCCTGGTAATGTGGGTAATCCTGGAGTCAGTGGTGCTCCCGGTGAAGCTGGTCGTGATGTGAGTCCAGCACTTGGTTGGTAAAATGAAACTAAGCAGGCTTCCACCATATGTAACTTCATGTGCTAAGTGGAGATCCTCTGGCTTCATGTTTCTGATCTAAACGGTCTATTTTTCTATAATATCTGCATGTGAGGCCCTCTCTGAGCATTGACAATAGGAAAAATTACTTGGGATGGGGAATAAATCTAACACAGTTTACATTTGGACCCAACTACTAAAAATACCTCCATAAATATCTTTCTTGGTAAATTCTTACTTCTACTTTTTAATAGTCTGAAAGGGGTTCAATCTCTCGCGCTGGAGGTGGTGATGGCAGGGTAGTCAATATACACACATTGGTGGCCACAGAACAAAAGCCTTCATGTGCATGGTGTCTCCACAGGGCAATCCTGGCAACGACGGTCCCCCAGGTCGTGATGGTCAACCTGGACACAAGGTCAGTACACTTTTTCATCTCTCTCTCATATTAAAGTAGTAAAATACAGGCCAGACATGCTAAGCTTTGTTTTGCTTTTGGTAGGGAGAGCGCGGTTATCCTGGCAACATTGGCCCCACTGGTACTGCAGGTGCACCAGGTCCTCACGGCCCTGTGGGTCCTGCTGGCAAACATGGAAACCGTGGTGAACCTGTAAGTCTATAAATGCCAATCCCTTCCTGCTGTTACCTTCTCGGGCTTCACTTCTAACCTTACACATGGGAACAGAGGGGGCATCGGGAAGAAGATCCTGGACTCCACTGATGAGTTGTGTTTGTCTTTTCCAATTCACAGGGTCCTGCTGGGTCTGTTGGTCCTGTTGGTGCTGTTGGTCCAAGAGGTCCTAGCGTATGTACATGGTGAAGTTTTCTGTACAAATTAATATTTAAGGAGAATCAATCCAAACCATCATTTAAAAAGTAGATAGAGCCAGGTGTGGTGGCATACACTTGTACTCCCTCCCAGGAG